TTAGGAGGGAAGGTATTTTGGTATCATTTTCTACAGAAAATCTTATTCTGAGAAAGAGCTGTATTAAAAAAAAAAGATTGAGAGAAAGAAAACAAATAGAAGCAACCGTCTAACAGCTATGGGTCCATGATGAAATGGGACACTGGACTGGGCTACTTCACTTTTGAGGACAGAAGTACCAAAATGCAGGAATTCCTAAACTTTCTCAGAAAAGCATACTTTGAATGTTCATAATGAAAAACTAAAGTTGAATGCTGAATGTATTCGGCTTTCAATCCTGTCTATCTGGGAAATTTCTAGAACTTCACTTCAAAATAAATTTATGGCCCTTTACGAATGCAAGAAATAGCCAAACTCCTGTTGTATTCAGAAGACAGGTCAAATTTTCCTTAGAAAGCAAGAGAAAATATATGAAAGACAGAAGGAAGTTAAAGAAAAAGGAATAGGAGGATGAGAAGGAAGGAAAATAACACAATACATGATGTGGGTGACTTATCATGGATTTATGAGTAGAAAACTTTAAAGAGATTAATAAAATAGTATTTGTTAAGTGACAATTGAAGCCCTTGGTACTTCGAAATAGAAGGACAGTTTTTGCTTCCTGGCCTCAAACAGCTTCCAGCAAGAGGAAAAAAAATCCAACCTACTTCAAACAGGGCTAAAATCTGATACCAACTATATATACAATAAGGCTGGGAAAAGGACAGGTTGGTATGAGTGACCCAGTTTCTCCATCTGTAAAACTGCATACGACAATGTAGCCTGTTTTACAGCATTACTGGCAAAGCAATTAGCCAGGTGCCTGACAGAGTAGGCATCTGTTACTATTGCTATTAACTCACTGAAATTTAATAAAAGATATAAAGACCTTGATAAGTGGGAAAAAGACTATGAAAAGAAATTTTACATAAGAAATACAAATTATGGCAACTATGGTATGCTATTTAATAGCTACTAAATTATCAATGGGATAAAAACTACATAATTGTTCAAAGTTATGATTAAACTGACTGAGACAGGAAGGGGCAGGGCACAGCCATTCAAGGAATGCACAGCAATTAACATCAAA